TGTGCATCAGTGGGGGAACGTCGACTGCGTTGTCGAGGGACGACCGACGCACAGAGACGCCGCGTAGGCGAATCATGCTGAATCAACTTGAATCTTGAGACCTGAACCTGCCTGAACCAATAAAGAGACGTGTCTGAGAACTGTTCTAACTCTCCAAGACTCTTTCTTAACATCCTCTGTCCAGGCTGCCTCCAGGAGAAGCTGACAATTGTTTGTTTGTTTGTTTATTTGTTTGTTTACTTGTAATGCCAAAAACCAATGAACACCATCACCAACACCATCACCAACACCATCACCAACACCATCACCAACACCAACATCATCACCAACACATCATCACACAACACCATCATCACCAACATCATCACCAACATCATCACCAACATCATCACCAACATCATCACCAACATCATCACCAACATCATCACCAACACCATCACCAACACCATCACCAACATCACCAACATCACCAACATCACCAACATCACCAACATCATCACCAACATCATCACCAACATCATCACCAACATCATCACCAACATCATCACCAACATCATCACCAACATCATCACCAACATCACAACAACATCACACCAACATCACACCAACATCAACACAACATCACCACAACATCATCACAACATCATCACCAACATCATCACCAACATCATCACATCATCACCAACATCATCACCAACACCAACATCATCACCAACATCATCACCAACATCATCACCAACATCATCACCAACATCATCACCAACATCATCACCAACATCATCACCATCACCAACATCATCACCAACATCATCACCATCACAACATCATCACCAACATCATCACCAACATCATCACCATCACCAACATCATCACCAACATCATCACCAACATCATCACCAACATCATCACCAACATCATCACCACACATCATCACCATCATCACCAACACCATCACCACATCATCACATCAATCACCCAACATCACCAACATCACCAACATCACCAACATCATCACCAACATCATCACCAACATCATCACCAACATCACCAACACCATCACCAACATCATCACCAACATCATCACCAACATCATCACCAACATCATCACCAACATCATCACCAACATCATCACCAACATCATCACCAACATCATCACCAACACATCAGCATTTCTATTCACACAATATCTTAAAAACGAGGACAGCGGCGGTTCACTTGATGCGGATGCTCAGCTCTTTTAATGTGTCGTCTAATATTTAAAATAATTTTTTATCATTCTTTTATTGAAAGTTTGCTGACTTTTCTTTTATCTGTTGATTTTATGGATGATCTGTGAAAGACAAGAACAGTCTGAACCAGATTGTAAAAGTTTGCAGCAAAATCAGTGGTGTTCAGACGGAGGATTTGGCCTCTGTGTGGAGACATCGGGTGTTACAAAAGACTAAGGCCACACTGAGCCTGACCATGTCCTGCACTCACAGTTCATGAAAATGTCCTCTGGGAGGCGCTATGTCACCCCACAGCAAAAGACTAACCGCTACGCCAAATCTTGTATTCCTTCTGCCATAAGGATTTTAAATGGAAAGTGAATTTGTTCCTGTGTCCCTGATGCTCTGAGGTTTGAACATCTAGTGTCTGTCTTTCTTTTTCTTTATTATTTATATTTATATATTGTGCGTGACCAGAGTGTGTGAACTGAATTGCCCTTTGGGATTAATAAAGTTGTTGACTGATTGATTGAAAAAAAAAAAAAATTTAGGACTGAGCTGATCTGCAGGGGGTGCTCTCTAGTCCCTGGGATGGTCCCTAGTCTCTAGGTTGGTCTCTGGTCCTGGTTTGTGATCTCTGGTCTCTGGTCCTGGTCTGGTCTTTGGTCTCAGACTTGTGCTGAGGCAGTAAACATTTCATGAGCAGCTGCTGAGACTTGAGAACCCCCGGGGACCTCATTAGACCCATGTCCAGAAGCCAGGACTAAACATCAACTGAACAATGTCTAAATCAGGACTAAATCAAGACTAAACCAGGACTAAACCAGGACTAAACCAGGCTAAACTAGGTCTGAACCAGGTCTGAATCTTAAAGTGCTTCTACTCATTTAACTTAAACACAGTTCAGATCATTAATTTACGGTTTTGTTTAAAAAGTAAAAAAAATAAAAGATTGGCCATTTTTTTTTAGATTTAAAGATGTACTCTGGGGGGTTCCTGGGTCTGATGGGGGTTCCTGAAGTGGATGGGGGTTCCTGGGGTTGATGGGGGGTCCCTGAAGTGGATGGGGGTTCCTGGGGTTGATGGGGGGGTTCCTGGTCTGATGGGGGGTTCCTGGGTCTGATGGGGGTTCCTGATGGGGGTCCTGATGGGGGTTTCCTGAAGTGGATGGGGTTCCTGGGGCTGATGGGGGGTTCCTGGGTCCTGATGGGGGTTCCTGGGGCTGATGGGGGGTTCCTGAGTCTGATAGGGGGGTTCCTGGGGCTGATGGGGGGTTCCTGAGTCTGATAGGG